GTCTGGTAAGCGACTGTAAACTTTTCAAAATGAGCGGCAAAACGTCAAAATTTATACAGTAATAAACGTATAAACTTCTAAGAAACAAAGAAACCAACAAGCTTTATTGATGAGAGAAAACATCAGTGAAAAATTTACAAATCCAAAACAAAACTTCTCTCCATTAATCATCTGAGAGATCCCTCTCTGCTTTTCATCAGCATGGCTGATGCTAACCTCCAGGAAAATGACTCATTGCATACACGCGGGCTAACGTTCTCAGTTAATGGAAAAACTGTATTGAATCTATTGCTAGAAAGTTTCATTTATGGCAAGTGATGTCAGCACCTGAAAAACCTTAGAATTTGGGATTTTGAAGGTTTTCGGATTTTGGAATTTTGATAAACGATACTCAACCTGTACTTATATCAATTTTTTTTTATGTTAACCCAAAACGTTGGAATTGTTTTTGTGTGAACAAATAATTTCTTTGTTTTGAATTTTTCTTAAGCAACCATAATAACAACAAATAAAGCAGTGTCAGAAATAATATTACAAATATCTTTATTTGGCACTAATTAACTAATCTCTTCCCTTTGTATAAATAGGGAAAATGTTTTTGGAAATAATTGTTTCACATCGGCATTCTTTAGACCATCCTTGGACCGCGTCACCTGTAAGAATCGAAAAATATTAATTTTTATCATTTTAGAAATGGGGTCCTATTTATAATATCGACATAACATAAAATATATCCCTGAGTTATTGGACTTAGTTGTTATTTACAAATGAAAAATTTGAAAGTGTGGTAGCATCATTGATATCTGAATATGTTTTTAATTTTCTCAAATTTTTAAAACTTTTATACAAAAAATTTAAAATTTCTGTATAGTATTTTTTCGGAAGGATATGCACAAACATTTGAGGTTAATAATTATTTATCTTAAATGAAGTATAAATGGATATATATTTTTATCTATAATTTTTTGTCTTTAATTTAAAATGGGTGTAAAAGTTCTTTATATGAAAGAAATCTTTTTTTACTGTAAAACCAAAAAAAAAAAAAAGAAAACTAAGTCCAATAGCTCTGTAAAAGTCAGGGATCAATTTGAATTATCATAACTACCTGGCAAGTCATGACAACAACTCTGTAAAAGTCAGAGATCGACTTGAATTGTTATGACTTCCTGGCAAATCATGACAACTCTGTAAAAGTCAGAGATCGACTTGAATCGTTATGACTTCCTGGCAAATCATGACAATAACTCTGTAAAAGTCAGAGATCGACTTGAATCGTTATGACTTCCTGACAAGGCATAACAACAACTCTGTAAAAGTCAGAGATCGACTTGAATCGTTTATGACAAGGCATAACAACAACTCTGTAAAAGTCAGAGATCGACTTGAATCGTTATGACTTCCTGACAAGGCATAACAACAACTCTGTAAAAGTCAGAGATCGACTTGAATCGTTATGACTTCCTGACAAGTCATTACAATAACTCTGTAAAAGTCAGAGATCGACTTGAATCGTTATGACTTCCTGACAAGTCATGACAAAATTTCCATAAACGTCAGAGATTGAATTGATTTGTCATGAGTTCCTCGGAATGATAGTGGAGTAGTTTCCGTTGTATTCATCACGGTTTGGAAAGCAAAGTTTGGAATAGGCTAGCATACCGGATTATAACATCGATATCATAAAAGAAGCTGCACTACTAAATCAATAAAATAAACAAAATATTGTACGATTCTGGTAAGTGTCGTGCCGTATGCATTGTCTAAGGAATGATACTCTACAAAAATGATTTCCAAAAACGGGTTTGACTATTTTTCTTACTATTATATACGTAATACCCTTTATTGTTACTTATTTCCTCCAAACATTTAAAATTACAAACTCAAGAAACCCATCGTGATAGTAAGAAAGTTCCATCCTTTTTATTCCTCTGTGTGCCGTATTCCTTCATGATATTAGTGATCAGGGTTCTCCACAATTTCCTGTCATTTATAGTTCTTAATAAATTTTGTCTTTTTATTATTTCTCCTAAAACTTGTTCCGCCAACCATTTAACCAAGCTTGCTAGATAGATTATGCATTGTTTTCCTCTGCTTCTCTTGTTTTCAGTATTTCCTGTGAGCATCAAGTTTCAATCTGTGTTGTGAGTATCAAATTTACTCTAGAAATTGCAACGTTCTCTAATTCCTGATTCTATGTATAAGTGCTCTTTTTGTTTCAATTTCCTCTAAAACTTCGCCATTTCTCACGTCTTCGGTTCATGGTATTTTTCTTCTATAGAACCGCATTTCTGGTTTTTTTGTTTTGTTTTGTTTTTTAAGGAGAACTGATATTACGTAACATTTCGGTACTTGTTTCTTTCTTTCTAACTTGCATTTTTAGCTGAACGAATAAACAATAAACAAACCTCACACCGTGAAGCAAGCTAATCAGGCAGACCATTATATCTGCAGCGAATTTTATTCTCACTAGGTGCTCCGCTAGTGTGGTCTTGTGATCTTAAATTTAATAAATACCTAAAATTGCTTCATTAGATCAGTGAGTCTCCAACTGGCGCCAGGGAACGGTTTTCGAGCCTGGTTAAAATCGATAATGTCGACTTCAAATTTGCAAGGCAATCTGACACAATCTTTGTACTCCTATTTTCTCCTCCTTGTGCTAAACTAAACTAAAGAGGACAATAAACACGTTATTTATACTTTTTGAAAGATATTTTTCTAAAGAATTCTGTCCTCCAAATCTGAGGTACGTCCCCTTTTCTCTTTCGCACGCACGCAATTGCTTTCTGAAAAATATTAGAATGATACGCGAATCATTCTAATGATAAATACATTAGCGATAGATTATGAAATAAGATTCCAAAAACAGAAATAAAACAGAGGACAATCCAAGTATATATTACCATTATTTGCCGTCAGGGACGGGCTGTTTTGTGATCCAGTGAGCAAACATGTGTTCTAACCGATGATTAAGACATAATTTGATCTAGATGTATATATAATATACTTATGAATTTTGTAATTGCTTTAATAATGTATAATCAAATATGAGACACGATCATTTGACTTAATTAGTGTCGATTCTTTATTTACATTTCTTCATGTATGTATCTGTCTTTACTGAGTGGCATAACAGTATGGAAACTGGAACCAGTGAATCAAGTTCTTGACACAATGTCTGTGACTGGCATGTCACGATGGAGAGGGAAATGGATGTGTGTGTATTTAGGCAATTCACACCGCCATATTTACTTCACCTGTCCAAGCAAGAACAGCGAAAGCATTATTACCCATACAGTCAATCTTGACAGCATTCCAATCAAATGTACAACTCCTGGCTATAAATTATGGAATGTTCATGACTGGAAGAAAAAATATACCGTTAATTTAAACACTCTAATCTAGTTTGTTTTAGGTATATTTTATCAAGCTAGAATGTTAAGTTATAAAAATGTTTTGCGTTTTATCTCTCATTAGTTTATTTATTGCTAAATCATGGCGTTCTTTACTGAAGGCCAAATCGTAATGCATCTCTCGCCTAGAACTGGAGTCCTATCTCAAATCTCGTCGTCCTACTGAGAGCGAAAAAGAACGTCACGTGTTAAATAAAAAAAATTGTGAGCAGCCACTAAGTGTTTTAATTCCATAAGTGTTGCAGATTTGTATGAAGATGGGCTGAATAGTGATGCGAAATATTGTATGCATTAATTTCAATTCATTTTAATAACTGCCTTGTTTCTTTGTAGGTACGAAGGTGGGCTGAAAAGTTAATAGGCTGACTATGAACTGGTGATGCTAGAACTGTGAAACACTGTATGCATTACTTTCAATTCATCTTAATAACTGCATTGATTCTTTCCAGCTAAACTGACATCTGACTATTCAAAGAAGACGTCATTCTATTCATAAAAAAGCCATCAACAGCAGCAGATATAACGCCATCATCATTGTGATACTGGTTCCCAGCCAAGTGGTTTTTTTTTTCATCTTGCGGGGGGGGGAATGAGAATATGGAGGATGATCAACCAGTTCAAAGCCACAGTTATGCACAATAGACATTGAAACCAGAACCTGTGTACTGGAGCAATGTCTTTTTGAAACAAAACACCTTCCGTCAGTTTTTCTGGATGTTTGATCTTAATAGCCTTTCGTAACTGCCTCAGCAAGTTGACATAGTACTCCCCATTGAGAGTGTGGCCCTTTTGAAAATAGTTAATAAACACAGTATCTTTTGCACACAAAAAAAAACTGAGATCATCACCTTCCCTGCAGATGATACGAGGTTGGCAGTTGACGAGGGGTGTTTCCACTGCATGGCTTCTTCTTTTGTCTCTACTCAAAATGATGAAACCAACATTCATCTTCAGTTAGGAAACATTCAAGGAGACCAGCTGAATCTGCCTCAAACAATGTCAGATTTTTCCGTGATGCGCTTTTGATCAGGTATCAGAAGACGTGGAACCCAATGAGTAGAAACTTTCGTCATGCCAAGTTCATTGTGCAGAATATTCTCAACTCTTTCAACGGATATGTTAATAGCATTGGCATTTGATTTATAGCCAGTTGTCTGCTCTCCATCATCATCAATGTTTTCCTCGATGGTAGCTGTTGCAGGATGTTCAAACCTTGAGTTATCTTCAAGAATCTCCTAAATCCAGCCGCTCACTTTGTTGATAAAGTTGGAGCGTCATCCCTTAATGTCAACATGAATGTCTTTGGGCGCTAAACTCTTTTTTTATGCAGGTACTTCGTAACACCACGATGCCAAATTTTGTCCAGTTTCAAGAGAAGTCGCTACTAGTTAATTTTGAAATATTCTTTGAACTGTCAGATGTTGGCTTACCCGAAGAAAAAAAAAGCAATACATTTATTAATAAGAAAAGTTGAAATTAATGTATTCAAGACTTGACGGCTATAGCATCACTCCTTCATAGTTAGTCAATGAATTTTCAGTCTACCCTCGTATCTATCGATAGAAAAAAAAACGTTGTATACATATGTACTTAGATATCAAGAGAGGGAACGAGAAAGAGAGAGAGAGTGAGAGAGTAAGGGTGAGAGAAAATAAGAAACAGTTAGAGAAAGGGAGAGAAAGGGTAAGAGAGAAAGTGAGAGAAAGAGGGAAAGGTAAAGAGAGGGGGAAAGAGAAAGAGTGAGAGAGAAAGAGAGTGAGAGAGAAAGAGAGAAAGAAAGAAAGAGAGATAAAGACAAAGTAAGGGAAATAAAGAGAGAGAAAGAGAGAGAGAAAGAGAGAGAGAGAAAAAGAGAGAAAGAGAGTAGCAATGTCAGTGGACTGTGAAATAAGTGAGATTTTATGCATTAACACTTATCTGTATAATCGTCGCTTTAATATTAGGAGTATGAGAATAAAAAATGAAATCGGAAATCAGCGACCATCTTCATTTCTGTTACAATACAATAGTATGTCTTTTCTCTCTATTTTCGTAACTAATAATAAATGAAATATATGTAACCATTATTCATACTATTACAACTTGAGTGCAGGGTTAACACTTTTCTTTATTCAGTTTAATAGGGGAAAAGCCCGTATAAGTAGTTACCTGTCTACTATTGACGTGGGCTGAATGCGTAGACACAATCAAGTTGTAAATTATCTTCACTGGTCATTATGCTGACCATTAGACCATGAAGTTTCTTAAGCACCGGTTTGAACTTGCGCTCCATGCGGTCACTAACACCAGCAATCATGTTGGACATAGCTGTGAACAGAGATATCGTCGGCAAAGTCATCTCTTTTCAATGATGCTGCGATCAGAAAAGATGATGTAGTATCAAGAGTGAGAAATCAAGATCCGGCGGATGTAAAACGCATTTATGAAAGTGGTGCCAGTTGTCAACTGAACACTGAGTACAATCGAAATAGGATTTTACGACTATCTTGGACAAGTTCCAGAATATTATAGTCACGCTCTTATGAACTGATGACCATTATTGCCTATTAAGTTACATTTAAGTTTAACTATAATTAAGTTTTTACTATTTTTTTTTTATTTAATTCTATAGCCTCTGTAGTTTAAGTGGCATAAGTGATGCCTATGTAAAAGAAGTGCTAAGATATACAGTGTAACCCGGATATAAGAGAGTTGTCGGGACCGGAGAAGTCTCTTATATTCGGGTTTCTCTTATATCCGGGTTTGGTCTATTTTATATACATTAACACAGGCTCTAATTTGGGACCAGAGAAAATATCTCTTATATCCGGGTTTCTCTTATATCCGGGTCTCTTATATCCGGGTTACACTGAATACTTTTGGGTGGTTGAGCTCATTTTTTGTGACAGAGCGTTAAATAAATTTAGCAGGATGTGTGTGTTTAGGTTAAACACCATTACGTAACATAATTTAAAAATTAAAATTTTTCGCATTAGTTTTTTTTAAAAATTAAAATGTTATAGCATCAATGACGACTTACCAGATATGCGATAAGTAACAGATACTCCAGTTATCGAGGATTGCGAGCCAATATGGAATGACAAGTCAAAAGACGGTTGATTGCCAGGAGAATCAAAGTATTTCCAGTTTCAAAAATCTTTTTAACATTTTTGAAGACGTTACATTTCATAGCTTTCATTTGATTTGTTCTTTTTTTTAAATTTCTTCAGACCTAATCATGTTTTTACGGGGATTTATTTTCATAAATATCGTCTGCTCTGCACTCCTTCCATGTTTATTGAACAGGTGTAAAGGATCATCCCTTGATCCCTGTTTAGGACATGGTTTCTCAGTTCTTTCTTCTTCCTGTCTTAACTTTTTGGTAATCACCCTAATCAGTGGCAGCGACTTTCCATTATGTGGGTACTGGGTTGGTAGTTGGCTGGCTGCTGCATCTGACGGGTAGTAAGCAGCTTGAACTCTTTGGCAGGGCTTACAAGAGCTTCTCTGTTCAGCAGTCGCATAATTTCGGGGTATTTGTAGTGCTATGCCGCGCATGGTTAGGTGTTCCTGTATGTATTTCCGGTGGAAAACCCTGAGGCCACATTTTGTTTTAGTCTCAGCCATGTTCTGGTTAGTCTGTATCGCCATTGACGACAGATAGTGATAATTATACTGACTTTTTTTCCTCAGAAAATGTCCTCATGTCAAATACAATGAAAAAAAATACGTGAAAACCAGTAAAAAAAAAAAAAAAAAAAAAAAAAAAAAAACAATAAAAACAAAAGAACACCTCAACCTTTGCTTGTGGTATTCGTTCCAACTTTTGCAGTATAGAATTTGTTATCTTCGCACGGTCGCTGGATGTCTTTGCACTTTGTGAAACCAATTTAAATTCTTCCATTGCTACCAATGAATTCTCTGTTCTAGGCCATCTTCCTCTTTGCCTAAAATATTCCAGCATTCGTATACATGGCCTTGACGTTTACATCCGGGATAATCTTCCAATGGCATAGGGACAGTCACTCGAGTCTCGAGACAACACTTTCATGTGTGCTTTCGGCTTTTACTATTACATTCTGTTAACTATCTCTTTTTCCTTTATTGTCCCACCTCTTCTCAGTATATATCTGTATATGACATAATTTATGATAATATAAAAAAGGCACTCTCTCTTCAGCCATCTTCAAACATCTTTGTGTTCGGTGATTTTAATGCGGATCACGACATGTGGTTTAAACACTATAACGTTACTGATAATGTCGGCATTCAGAATTACAACTTTTCCATTGCTCAATCCCTTACTTAAATCGTGGATTACCCTACTCGTTTCCCTAGCAAATCAGGGAAATAGCCTTCCAAATTTTGATTTATTTCTTACCTCCTCTCCTAGCTCTTGTCGAGCTTTGCAACACTGTCCTCTTGACAACTCGGATCACTCGGTAGTATCTATTGATATCTAGTTCCAATTATCTTTTAGACAGGAACCTCCTATTCATAAGACATTTTCCGTTACCATCATGCTGATTTGGATTCACTCAGTGACTTTCTTCAAGACATTTTAACCTCCATATTGAGAATTGCGCCACAGAGGTTTCTGCTTGGGTCAAAACCGGTATAGATGCTGACATTCCTACTAGGAAATACCAGGTGAAACCTCAATCTTCTCCATGGTTCAATCCTACCGATATAGGTCACAGGAATCACTACTGGCGGCTCTGTAAAAGTAAGTTTTATATTCTTCCTCTCTTCAATTAATTTGAAGTGTTAACATCTGCCGATAAAGCTGAATTTTTCACCTGTAAATTCACCTTCAACTTTACTATTAATTCGTCTGGAGTATTCTTGCCTAACTTTCCACTTCGAAAAGAGTCTCTGTTTAGTAATACTTTCTACATTTTCTGTTATCATCTCTAACCTGGATCCCCACTCTTGCTTTCGCGCATCCTGGAAATCCTCATCTGGTGTTCCAGGTTTTAAGAACTCAAGTAAACCATCTGACCGTTCCAACTATAGGCCTGTTTGTTTTCTACCTCCAATGCTGAATTAGTTAAGCATTTCACATCGTGGGGTCTTCTTTCAGACAAACAATATGGCTTTCGTTTCTCTAGATCAACTGCTGATGTACTGACAATAATTGTCTATCAAGCTCTAGATAAAAATGGTGAAGCTCGGCCATTTCGAAAGCTTTTGACAGAGTTTAGTATGCAGGGTTTTTTTTTTTCACATTTTGAAAAGTTATGGTGTCTCCGGACATATTTTCGAACTGATCCGGTCTTTCTTATCAAATCGTGAAATGAAAGTGATACTGAACGGACACTTTTCCAGATCGTTTTGCACTAATGCAGGTGACCCCTAAGGCTCTATCCTTGCCGCTATTTTGTTTTTAATTTTGATTAACAACGTTCCCGATGGCATCAGCTCTCAACTTGTCTGTAGCGAACCGTGGCTTTGGTGTTGAGTAGAAGTAGAAAAATACACGTGAGTTAAGATTTTCCTGCTATCCGATCAAACTACATGAGAAAGTTGAACTTTAATTAAGTCCAAAGAAGGCAAAGAAAAACAAACACAAGACCGATAAATATATGTAAACAAATATATGTATTACTAACAAGAAAGGTTACAAGTTACATGGACAGTTACATGGACAGAGTGCGTGTGGTGAATATTATATGTACGTGTTGTGTTGTGGTGAGTGTTCGTACGTACGTGTATTGTTCTTAGCGTGTTCCCAGCATTTGGGAAACGCTGTATCTGTGAGCGTTCACATCTGCGAGGTGGTATAAGGCCCAAGGCCTGAGGGAAAAAGAGGAAGAGGCGAAGGGTCAGCGAGTATTTATAGCCAGGGGAGAGAGACACCTGGTGAAAGGGTTAAGGAGCTAAGGAGTAGCTAACTCCGACAACTCCTGTCTCGAAAGTAAGTCTGATCGGTCTGATGAAGTCAAATTGTCGACTGATGTCAAAAACAACATTCAGTCTGTTGTTAACGAAAACAAAGGGTAGCTTGTTAATTTTAACGCCTCTAAAACTAAACTGCTCTCCATTAATCATCTCAGAGACTCCATTCTGCCTTCCATCAGCATGGCTGATGCTAACCTCCAGGAGAGTAATTCATCTCGGACTAATATTCTCAGCTGACATAGAGGGGAAAGACTATATTGAATCCATTGCTAGGTCAACTGCTAACAAATTTGGTTCGTGCTAGACAATTTTTCTCCCCAGAATTTATCATACATATCTATGTCTACCATTTGTCCATACTTAGAATATTGCTGCCACATATGATCTGGTGCTCCCACTATATATTCAGTGATTCTTGATAAAATCCAAAGAAGCTGCTGCAATGTCATTGGCATCTAGGTTTCAGTCACTTTCCCATCGTCGTAATTCCTTTTCTATAAGTACTTTCATGACAATTGTTCGGATGGTACTAGATTAGCGCAATATTTCATACTTTTACCATTGAAATGGTTAGATGTAAGCATAAGTTCTATGATAACAGTTTCTTTTTTCGATCTTCTCGCTTGTGGAACTTTTCTCCGGCTTCTTGCTTTCCAATCAAGTTTGATCTTCAAAAATGTAAATGCAATGTCAGTTGTTATCATCTGTCTTTTATTTCCTGTTCTTTTGTTGTTTTCTCTACTTATTAATATTTTTCCTTTTCTTACATTCTTTCACACTCAATAACGCTCTATATCTTAGTGACTTTATTACCTTGCTTGGGGTATAATGGTTAAAAAAAACATGAAAAATTGTTATACATTATATTGAACAGTATTTGATTGCATTATATTTTCATTGTGTTTCCCTTATTAGTATTTACGAATGGAACGTGGGAGTAACAGGTTTTATTTGGGTGTACCAATTTAGGCTTAACGATGCGCAAAACATCTGAAACCTTAAATTTGGAAGTTCGGGGATATTTTATCTTGTAAAGTCATTACATAACCAATGGCGGTCTATCAAATAACCGTTATAGGATGTTTCAATGTGCGGGTTAAACTTACAAATTTTACCGTTAGGTCCTTATTGAATGACCCCGTAAAACTTGAGCGTTGCTATCAGAAGCAACAAAAAGATGAAAGAAAAACTAAACTAAAAAAGAAGAAAGTAAAACATGTTTAAAAATCCAAACATTTTTAAATTATTTAATTATTATTTAAGTTTCTTACATTGTTGGGATTTGATTGAATCGTAAAAACTGGTAGAAAAGACAAAATGTATACTAAAACACAGCTGTTAAATCGTCCAGTCAGATATTCTGTCAGAATGTGTAAATGATTTCAAACTGAAGTTCGACATCCTCATTCTGAGTGAAAGAAATTTTAATTATCAAACTGATAAGTACAGTAAGAAGCG